GGGGAGGGATAATTTGGTGTTGGGGAGGAAGGGTGCTGAAGGTTGAAGTTACGTTAATTGTAAGAGTTGGGACGCCTTCCTGCTTTCTGCACAACTGCTGCATCCACTTATCTTTTCAAGGCCAAGGCCAACCATCTTGGCATACCAGATGTCTGAAGCACCACCTGAAGAGGTACACCACCTGACATTATACACACCTCAGATTGGATGTCCCGGTTGAACTACTGGGGGAGGGGACTTGGGATAACTTTCAATATGTAATTTCCGTGCCTATTTGCCTCCGATCTGGCTTCCCTTTCGTTGCTACCACTTCAAATCCAGTAAAAAGTACTTTTCTCTATTCTAACGGAGTCTTAAGGTTTTCTTTCTTGTGTTTCGAATGGAAGCACAGCTGACAGACGGGCTAGAGTGTCCCTATTCGACCTCGTCTTTAAGAGGGTTGGACTTCAACTCCCAGAATTCCCAAGCCAGCATATCTAGGTTATTAAGGAATTCTGGGAGTTGAAGTCCACTCCTCTCCAAAGCTGCCGACTTGAGAAGACACCGATTTCTAGTGTCCTCTTTTGCTTTTCATTCCATCATCTAGCCAAAATGCAAGCAATATAGGATATCTCAAAAATAATTGATCTGTAACTCCCAGCTTAACTCCTTAAGGATGATGGGAGTTGTACCTATCCAAATCCATTCCATGAGCTTTAACTACTTCCCAGAGTTTAGATCTCCCGCCTTGTGACTGTTTTTTCATACAGGAGGAAGATGGTAAATTTAGATTTACAAGATTGTTTGCTTCCCGATTAAAATCTTCCTGATAGTTTATTGTCCTCTTTTTCTTCCTCATTCTCCTTCCTTTTCTAATGTCTGACTTAACATCACGTGCTTGTAGTCTTTTTTCTTCCTAGCGTTTGTCACTCAAGTGCAGCGTCCACTTTTTTTCAGATCGACAAGGGTTGATCTGTGGGTTGCCGCAGGATGTAACCGACCAGCTTGTCATCCAAAGCATCACCTGGCTGCTTTCATGCCAAAGGCGGGACTAGAACTCACCGTCTCCTAGTGATTGGTCCAAAGTCACCCAGCTGGCTTTCATGACTATGGCGGGACTTGAATTCACTGCCTCCTGGTGATTGGTCCAGAATCACCCAGCCTGCCTTCGTGCCTGAGGCAGGACTAGAACTCACCATCTCCTAGTGATTGGCCTAAAGTCACCAGCTGGCTTTTGTGCCTAAAGTGGAACTAGAACTTATTGTCTTCTGGTGATTGGCAAAAGTTATCCAGCCTACCTTCGTGCCTGAGGCAGGACTAGAACTCACCATCTCCTAGTGATTGGCCCAAAGTCACCAGCTGGCTTTCATGCCTAAGGTGGAACTAGAGCTCACTGTCTCCTGGTGTTTGGCCCAAAGTTACACAACCAGTTTTTAATATCTAGAACTCACCATCCCCTGGTTTCTAGCATGGTGCCTTAACTATTCGACCAAACTAGCTCTAATGTATCTTATAAATTTAACTGAATATAATTTATACAGGAAATCCCCGAATTCAGACCATATGGGATTCCAGAATTTCCAACGTGAGTCACAGTGGTTTTAATTTGAGGCATCAGAAGCGGACCCAATTTTACAACTTTTTTCTGGTGGTCGTTAAATAAAGCGAACCATTAAGTGAATCCATGTGTTCCTAGGAGCGTTTTTTTTTTTGCCAGAGGCCCAGGGCAAAACATCGTAAATGGGGTCAGACGAGTGCAGAACACTGCAATGAGCCGTAAAGGTGAATAAGTTGCCGAGTGTGCCTGAGAGGCAGTCACATGTGTGTTTATGTGTGTTTGTCTGTTTGCAGCACTCAGAAACTTGGAACAGGGTGATCAGTAGCTTTTGGAACTTACGTCGTAACTTCGAGCCGTCACTAAGTAAGTGACTGGTTTAACATTAAAAAGGCATTTCCCCTCGCCCTTCTTAAGATTAACAAAAGAATTTGAACAGAAAAAAGTGGAAAAGCAACACAGGCAGTCCCCGACCTACGATGTTCGTTTAGTGGCCGTTCTAAGTTACAAGTCAGCGACAAAAGTGACTGACGAATGGCTTTTCACCCTTACGACCATTGCAGCACTTCCCGCCCTGCGCCCCCATTGTCACGTGATCAAAAATGGTTTGTATTTATCACGGTTGCAATGTCCCAGGGTGCTGCGATCCTCTTTTTGCGACAGGGGGGGGGCAAGCCAGATTTCGCTTAACACACCACATTCCCTGCTTCCCGACTGCGGCGATCCACTTAACGGCAGTAGCAAGAAAGATCGCCAAAGGCCTCCCCGAGCGACCGCCTCGCTTGGCCTCGGGGATTTGGGCTCGACAGCGGTCGTACGTCAAGGACTGCCTGTATAGAAACAAGAGGCGGGAAAATCTACCGCCTAGGGACCGAGCCTCCGTTACGGTGAACGGATGGATTTACCTCATCCAGGGAGAGCTTTTTCTGGCAGAGGATCTTCTTCTCCACGTTTTGCCGGAAGTGGATCTCGTACATGGATTCGGCCATGCGGTCCCCGTCCAAAACTTCCCCCAAGGTCAGGCTTTTGTGGCGGATGGGAGTCGGCGAGCAAACCGGCAACTGGTAATAATGGTAGGTCTCTTGGGGGTTGTGGTAAGGTCCCACTTTGTTGACGTAAAGCATGACTTTCTCTCCTTCCTGATAGTGCGTCTCGGAAGGAGCCACGGCTAAGAAACGAAGGAAGGAGACAAGGAGGGCAAGGAAAGGATAGGGAGCCATGCTGGGGAGGAGGAGTCGGGATAAAAAGGGTAGAAGGGTAAGAGCTGGAGAAAGAATAAAAGAGAGAGTCATCTCCTCCAAGAAGGAATCGGAACAGCGTGTCTGTCTCAAGCTGGGCCATTTTTAAGAAGGGTGCACCTCCAACCATGGGGAATTCTGGGAGTTGAAGTCCACCCCTCTTAAAAGTCAGTTAGAATACAGCTCGAAGGGAGTTTTGGGGTCTTCTAGTCCAAGCCTTGCTCGGCACAACCAAGATCCTGTGTAGAACCCCCTAAACTCCCAGATCTCTGGTAGAGGATCTGAAATTGAAGAACATCCAGGCCAGCCATTAAGAGTGAGAGAAATTTTTGTTTTAATCTCTATTACTTACATGTTTCTTAGATATACATGTATACAATATTATATTATGATAGTTAGATAGATGACAGGCAGGTAGGTAGGAAGATACAATAGGTAGGTAGGTGGGTAGATAGCTGTAGGTAGGTGGGTAGGTAAGTAGGTAGATACATACCTACCTACATACATACATATATACATGCCATACATATAGACAGACACAGATTTTTTTATATAAGATACATACATACATACATATATTATTTCTTAGATATACATGTATATTATATTATGATAAATCGATTGATAGAGATATAGATAAAAGTAGGTTGGTTGGTAGGTAGGCAGACAGACAAACATATAGAGATGATAAATAGTTATATATATAGTTAGGTAGATAGTAGGCGGATGATAAGATAGATATGATATAGATAGATAGATAGATAGATAGATAGATAGATAGATAGATAGATGATAGATAAATATGATAGATAGATAGATAGATAGATAGATAGATAGATAGATAGATAAATATGATAGATATAGATAGATAGATGATAGATAAATATGATAGATAGATGATAGATAGATAAATATGATAGAGATAGATAGATAGATAGATAGATAGATATAGATGATAGATATAGATAGACAGACAGACAGATCTATGAATAGATACAGATGACATAGATCAATAGGTAGATATTAAATTGAGGTACTATCCATACGGTGGATTGTTTGGTTTCCTGCTTAGCAGGTTGGGCCAAACCAGGCCAGTTTCTATTTGTTCAGTCAAAGACGGCCGAGAGCGACAACCAAGGCTTAAGGGTTTTTTTTTTTAGCAGAATGTGTGAACCCAGTGCTGAGAACACCCCTCTCACTCTGTGTGTGTGTGTGTGTGTGTTGATCCATTCATGATTGTGCGCACCTCTCTTTCAGCCATAGCTTCAGAGACCCCCCTCACCCCCACCCTTGAGATTTGGGGGGGGGGTTTGTCCCCTTCCACAAGCCATGAAGGTAAGTCAGTCCAGTTTGAGGGCTCTCCAGTTTGTGGGGAGCAGGGGCTGTGGATGGACCTGCTAACATGCCTGCTTCTCCCCACCCTCACCCCACATTAAAAAAAAAAAAAGCCCCGGTGGGGGAGCATGAGCTGCGCCCCCTCCCTTGTGGATCTGTACAACAGCCCTGAAAGGTAGTCCAGGTAAAAACAGGCAGCCTTTTTCCTGCCTTTCCCCAAGGGGAAGGAGGGGGGTTTCTATGCACCAAGCCCCCACCCCCAAAAGGCTCACTCCACTCACCTGTAAGGGCTGCCCGAGCGCTGCCTGAGCTTCCCGCAGTCTCTTTCGCCCCTTAAGGAAAAAAGAAAGGAGAGAAAGTTCTCTTATAAGTGCAATCACCCAAGCTGCGGTGGGGGGGGGGGTAGTTGGGAAGGAGTGGGGGAAACGGCTTGAGTCTGAGCGGGCGTCCAAAGCGCTGCCTGGGTTTTTGGAGCCCCCCACTCCTGATGGGTTTGCAGAGGTCTTCTCTCCACGACGGCCGCGCTCTGCTTCCTCGCACCGCACGCGGTCCCGAAGAGCGAAGGAGGGCTTAATTGCGGAGCCGCGGCTTTCCAAGCCGTCGAGGTCCTTCAGGCGATCGCTGGGAAAGCCTCGGCCACGTCTGTTGGTCGCTTCCGCCCTCAGCGGGTCGTGGGGGGCCTTCGCTGCCCACACCAGGACGCAGTTCCGGGTTGGGGGAAGCGGGAGGCGGCGTCCCTGAGGGAGAGGAGACGTCAGGGAACTGGCCCCGCCCACGTTTTAAAGGGACAGCCCCACGTTGGAATAGGAGCAGGGAGAAGGGGCGGGGGAGGCGTGAACAGGAAGCAGGGATCCGTGAGATCTTCTAGACTGTAGCAGACAGGCGGAAATTCTTCAGGGGAATCTCAATCAAGCATCTCGTAAAATTGAGCTCTTTATTCCTTCCAAGACTGCTTTTAATTATTTAAGCTCATGACGGTTTTCCAAACCTGAGTTTAAAATGATCGTCATAATAAATATCCAATCAATTATTAAATGATAGTGCATATTACATAAACCCATATAAATGGATAAATCGCACGTGTTCAATAAATAATTGAATAATAAACTGCACATCCAAACATAAATAAATAAATCAAACAGATTAAATAATTAAATCATAAAGGACCTGTCTCCCAAATAAATAGCTAAATAATAAACAGCCTCAGATAAATCAGTGTCAGCACATTGTACTTATGAAATAATACATAATCCTACATCTTGAATAATAAAAGCATAAATAAATAATACCTATTCAATAATACCTAAAAATATCATATTGCGTATGAAATAAATAAGGAAAAATTGATTGAAATTTAAATATTGTGGGATTTCCAAGGGCAAAGTGATAATGCCAAACGTCTAGATTTTGATCATTTACCGTGGGGATTGCTGCGTTGTTCATAAGTATGAAAAGCATTCGTAAGTCACTTTTTTCCAGTGCCGTGGTAACTTCAAACGGTCATTACAAGAATGGTGAGGACAACCGGTGTATGTAATAATAATAGCAGTGGTAGCAATAGGAGTGCCATCCCAAAATATCTGGACTTCAAGAATCCCTTGCAGGGCGGAATCTGGGAAACGGAATGGAGCTGTGTGATTACTGGCCGGATGCCCTTCCTGTCGCCAATGCGGAGTTTTTTCTTTTTACAGCAAATACATTCACATTGAGCCCAAAGAGAGAAATATCTGCTTCTACCTAGGATTGAACTCACAGCCAAATGATTGTGAAGCAAGAGCTCTGCCTCTAGGCCACCGCACCACTCTCCTAATGGATGATTTTGGAAAACTGCAAGAGAAGAAGGAAGACCAACATGATAGTATGGATTGACTACAAAAGGACATTTGACTTCCTACCCCAAGATTAGATAATCGTGCCTGGAAAAAAAATGGTTGAAACATCAAAAGCTTTGTGCCAAGACCAACTGCGCAGCTTAAGACACAATTGTTGGTTGATGGTTGAAAGACTGGGAGAAATTAATATCAAGAGAGGAATTTTTCAAAGAAACTATCACAGAATACAGAACAAAAGAATTGGAAGGGGCTTTGGAGGTCTTCTAGTCCAACCTACCTGCTTGAGCAGAAGACAAGGATGTCAGGTCTCTTCTTAAGCATATCCAGTGATGGAGCACCCACAACTTCTGGTGGCAAGGAGTTCCACTGGTTAATTGCTCCTACTGTCGGGAAATTTATTCTTAACCCTAGGCTGGTTCTCTCCTTGATTAGTTTCCATCCATTGTTTCTTGTCCTGTCTTCTGGTGTTTTGGAAAAATAGGTGGACTTCTTTGCGGCAGCTGGAGGCTAAAACATATGAAGAATGGTTGCAGGAGTTGGGTGTGTCTAGTTTAATGAAAAGAAGGGGTGATAGCAGCCTTCCAGTATCTCCCACAAAGAAGAGGGAGTCAAGCTATTCTCCAAAGCACCTGAAGGCAGGAGAAGAAGCAATGGATGGAAACTCATCAAGGAGAGAAGCCACCTAGAACTAAGGAGAGAAATTTCCTGACAGAAGAATTTAATCATTGGAACAGCTCGCCACCAGAAGTTGTAAGGTGCACTGAAGGTTTTGAAGGAGAGATTGGACAGCCATTTGTCTAAGATCGTCTGCTTGAGCGAGGGGTTGGAATAGAAGACCTCCAAGGTCCCTTCCAACTCTGTTTTTCTGAAGGCTTACTGAGTTCTGCAGAGACCCAATGAAGACCAGAAAAGAGACATGGCGTTCTGGGAGTCGAAGTCAACCCATCTTCATGATGCCAAGGATGAGGAACGCTTCGTTAAACAGCAAATTCATACTTAACATGGAAAGTGAGATTTAAACTGGGGATTGGTGTCCTTCCATCCATTGTTCTCTTTCCTTCTTAGCCTCGGTGGAACATTCTCCAAGGTCCCTGTTAGAAGACAATACCTGCATTCCTAGAAGGTTCTCTATGGTAACCGGAACCCCAGCAACCAATCAGGGTAGCCAGAAGGCTTAAACATGGCTTATGGCATCATCAGAATCTTGGTGGGACCCGGTCAGAGTGATTCCGGTCAACTCTTCAGGTCTTGGAGGTGGCAGCCCGTTATCCCTCTGATATCGTCAAAGGGAAGCAGTCTCTTTGGGTGCTCCTAACCTAGACTCAATAGGGTGAAGAGAGGTGGATCCCGACAGGATACCCCACCTCCACCCGATCCTCTCCGAACCAAACACGTTCCTTTTCCAGACCGTTGGGGAGAGGAACAGGCAGTGGGAGGAAGGGTTTATCCTTTTTATGGAAGGTTGTTGAGATCTTCCAACCAGGGTCCCACAAGACGTGGTCTATACTCCACCACCGTCCTCAGTGGCGGGTCTTTCTCTATATCTCTGAAGTCTTCCCAGAGCCGAGATAGAACCGACCAATTCCCGGAAGGAAATCTCCCCAGCGGAGAAGCTTTCCACCATGGTGGAACACTCGACCTCCACACCGTACGTCTCGGTGATGGACCAGTATGGCTACCAAATTGGCAAAGCCATTGGGCACGGCTCCTACGGGACTGTCTACGAAGCTTACTTCTCCAAGCAGAAGTCCATGGTGGCTATTAAGATCATCTCGAAGAAGAAGGCCTCGGAGGATTATCTCACGAAATTCTTACCCAGGGAAATACAGGTCATTCTGGAAGTGGGAGCGGGTGGGTGTTTGTGTACACGTGGGTCTCCCCTGAATGGAAAGCTGTGAATGATCAGAGGTAGGATTCAGCCGGTTTGGACCGGTTCGGGTGAACTGGATGTTAAATTTACATCTGCTTCACCAAACCGCTATTTGAACCAACCGGCTGGCCCCGCCCACCTTTCCTTGGCCCCTCCCAGGAGTCTCCCTGAGCCCCGATTTGGATCCCAAGTAAGTGCAGGGCCCGTGTAGAGGTTCTGGGAGGGCGAAACACAATGGGCCGAACCAGAAGTTCTAGAAATCCGGAAGCAGGCCTATTCCTAGCTTCTGGAGGCCCTCAGGAGCCCGGGGGAAGCCTCGGGACTCTGGGGAAGGCAAAAAACGGCCCTCCCAGAAGTTCCAGTAGGCCACGCCCACCATGGCCACGCCCACTTAGCAACAGGGCAGCGAACCAGTTGCTGGGATTTTTTTAATCCCACCCTTGTGTGAATCCCTTGTAAACATTTAAACTTCATACCTTTACAGGGGTCCAGCAAATACAGGTCGCCCCTCAACTTACAATAGTGACCGTTCAAACTTAGGATGATACTGAAAAAAAGCAACTTACGGCCGTTTTTCACATTTACGACCACCGTTGCTGCTCCCACCATGGTCATGTGAATCAAAATTCAGATGCTTGGCTGCCACTGACTCGTATTGTGGTGGTTGCAGTGTCCCAGGGGTCACGTGATCCCCTTTTGCGACCTTCTGACGAGCAATGTCAATGGGGAAGCCAGATTCACTTAACGACCGTGGGACTACCTTGACAACTGCAGCGATTTAACTTAACAACTGGGGAGAGAAAGGTCATAAAACGCGGCAAAAGTCACTTCACAAATGTCCTACTTAGCAGCGGAAATGTCGGGCTCAATTGTGGTCGTATCTTGTGGCCTGCCTGTACCAAATGGGAAATTTTCAATGCCTGGTGGGTCATCTTTTGGAAAGGCACTCTGCACTCTCTCAGAGGCACTGTTGCTCCCCCTTAGCTTTTCATTCCTACCTATGTCTTCCTGGTCAGAATTTCAAGACAGGGAACTATCCTCAAAGTCATTTAGTTTTTAGGATATTTTATTTTTTTTCCCCTGCAGCGGAAGAACAGGGCACGCGAGGGAAGGGCGGGTGCAGGCCATGATTCGAACCCCGAGCCTTCTCTTCTTTTTCCAGGTGATGAAGAGCCTCCGCCACAAATACGTCATCAGTTTCTACCAGGCCATCGAGACCACCTCCCGCCATTACATCATCATGGAATTGGCACCAAGCGGGGATGTCTTAGAATGGATCCAGAAGTCCGGGGCCTGTTCGGAAGCTCTGGCTGGCAAGTGGTTCTCTCAGCTGACCCTGGGGATCGCCTACCTGCACGGCAAGGGCATCGTGCACCGGTGAGGGGGTGTGTGCGCGCGTACGTGTGTGTTAAATGCGTCCTTCGGGTTTCTAACCCGGCTGGGTTTTTAAATTGGGATCTGGAGTGATCCATGTTGTTCACGGGGGGATTCGAAGCTCTGTCAGCCCTTTGAGGTAGGCCGCTCAGCAATCAAACACCATTTCCATGGGCAATCTTTCTCAATCTTGGTAAGTTTAAGATGGCTGGAACTTCCTTCTTCCCTTCCTTCCTTTCTTCCTTTCCTCCCTCCCTCCCTCCCACCATCCCTTCTTTCTTTTTGCCTTTCTCTTTCCTTCCATCCCTTTCCCATCCGTCCCTTTCTTTTCTCTTTTCTATCTTCCTTCCTTCCCTCCCTTTCTTCCTCCAACCCTCCCCCTTCCTTTCTCTTATCTATCTTCTTTCCTCCCTTTCTTTCCTTCCGTCTTCTTCCCTCCCTCCCCTCCCTTCTTTCCTTCCTCTTT